AGTTTCTTATTGCTTTTTTGTTCTTGCTGTAACGGGGATTCAACCAGGGGTGCTTCTGCCACTGAGCTCCCTAGTCCTTTTTACTTTTTATTTTGAGATAGGGTCTTGCTAAGTTGCCCCAACTGGCCTTAAGCTTGTAATTCCTCAGGCCTTAGCCTTCAGAGTCATTGGAATTGTAGGTGTTTGCCATTGATGTGCAGTAACTCCCAGCTTCTTGCCCAAGTATCATTGGAAGGATTGGATTAGATCGGTGGTTTCGGCATTTAGCAGACCTCTTTGTTCATGTAGGAATCCTAAATCTGAAACCTATCAAGCAGAGCTACTCTGGTTTAAGCAAGGATGAGATTTGGAAACCTGAGTTGTCATCCCTGGATTCCCAGTGTTTTCTCAGTTCCTTAGCAGCTGCATACCTCTGGGTTCATCTCACCCAGACTGTTCTGTCAATTGTTGATCAGTTGGTTGATGGCTGGGGATGGGCCCCATGTATTCACCAGTCCAAAAGACCACGGGCTATATCCGTGAAAGAGTAGTAGTATGATGTTAGACTTAATTCTAGTCCCTTTGGGAGTAGACCCTCACTTTTTTTTTTTTTTTCTCATGACTGTAGTAGCCCTTTGCATATGGCCCTGTAAGGAAACTGGCTCTGTAAGCCTCATCCATTTTTTTAGATGTTTTTGTTCAATATTTTGCTTTGTACTTTTTCACATAGAGCATTTGCAACTTGGTGTGAATGTTGCTACTCACTGTTTGCCTTTTTAGCTAAAGATCTCCTCTGAATGGATTTCTTCCTAGGGCTGCCCATTGCCTGGCTGTCAGGAATGAGCCCTCTCCACGCTGGGTCCACGTGATCTTCTCACCTGGAAGCAGCTGATCTTCCGGATGGCAAAGCACAGCCTCTTGCCTCCAGATGTTTTTACTTCACCACCAGTCCCATCCCTCGCTCCTGAAACATCTTCCTGGATGAGAGTAGGAGCCAGTGTTCCTCTTCCTTTCAGCCCAGAGTGGCCAGAAACTCTACTAACTCATTTCATAGTCCGGAGTCCCTGTGAGGCATGGGAGAGCCATGTGGAAGTGGCCGAGCCCAGCAGGATAGTTATTTTTTCCTCAGTTTGCAGAAGGGACAGTGTGCCCAGAGAGTTGGCCTTCTTGGAACTCACACAGCTAGCTCAGAGCAAAGCCAAGATGGGAAAGAGGCCAGTGTCTTTTTCCACTATGCCTTTCCAAACTTGAGTCTTTGCTGGCCTTAGCTTCTGTGATCTGCCTTTTCCCTCAGGAGGTGAGTAGGTTTTGAAGGCTTGGAAACGATGAGCTATGGGGGCAGCACAGCTGTGCAGCAGGAGGAGTCCAGTTCCCCCAGCCCTCCCTCCCTCCATGTCCCCCTCTTGCTGGACTGTTCACTCTGCCTCTCTCAGAAGCTGTTTCAGAGCTGCCATTAGCATCTCCTGAGAGCTGAGATGGAGGCCAGCACATTTGGGAAAATGGGAGAAGGTGTTCTGGGAGAGAGCCACAGCTTTAGGGAGCACCCTATACCTACCTCACCCTCTCCTCCCTGAATAAAACTGAGGAACCTGCCTGGCTGCTGGAGGGAACATGGGCAAGTGTTGGAATGAGCTAAGCAGTCAGTTGATTTCACTGTTGGAAGACACCAAGATAAGCCCTTTCATATTCAAGTTTTTCCTTCATGGTTGTTTTTCTCTGTTTTCCCCAAAGGTTAAGACAAATTTTTAAAGCCATGCCAAGCCAAAAAAAAAATGTGATTCTTTTCTAAAAATGAGTAGAGGAGAGCAATCATCTTTGAAAGTCACTTTCCTGTGACTTTAAGCACCTTATCTGAAAAATGGTCCCATGATTATTAAAAATGTAACTTATGGGAATATAGTAGTCTTTTTTTTTAATTTTAAGGAAAAACAATAATGGAGTAAATATGAATGTAACAGACTTCCTTTATAAGTGTACATGAGAAGAGGCAAAATTGAAAACTGAACAAATCTTTTTTTTTAGATATATATAATTTTTAGTTGTCGATGGACCTTCATTTTATTTATTTATATGTGGTGCTCAGAATTGAACCCGGTGCCTCACACATGCTAGGCAAATGCTCTACCACTGAGCCACAACCCCACCCCCTGAACAAATCTTAATAGTGCTTGAATTGGGGATCAAATGGGGTTCGTGTTGCGGGGGGGGGTGTTGATTTGAGGTCCTTTTGTTCATTTGCATCTACAGGAATTCTGTTAGTGTTTCCTGTCAGCTCTTTAGGAAGCCTCCCCCGAGGGACACATATTACACACTGAACTTGAACTTTTCCATTTATGGGGTGTTTTCTGATCAGGTGTCAGTTTCTTGTCTCCATGACACAGTATGGAGATGCTGCCTGGACCATGGTCTGTGGGTGGAGGCCTGACAGAGGGCAGTGGGTTCACTTGTGCTGGCTGGTCAGCCTGGGCTGTAGGTTTTCTGGACATGGTTGAGGAAACAGATGAGTGATGTCTTAATGAAGCTCGGCCCTGCTGCTTCCAGTAGTAGAGGATGGAGCTAAGAAACACTTGCTTTGGTTCAAAAAAAAAAAAAAATGTGATTGATTTAACTAGGAAAAAAACTGTTAATCCCATTGTCAACTGGAATGTAGAAGAGGTGGACTTTCATGTCACTGGTTTCTTTGCTATTCTGTATATCTGGAATCATTCTAACAATGTGATAAGCTATGAAAACTACTTTTCATACTCTGTGATGGTAAGAACAAATCAAACAAGTTTCAATGGCTGTAATACAGTGTTGGTTGGTAGGGAATGGTCAGGATGAGCCCCTGAAAGCGTGCAGCCATTGCTTAAACACAAGACTGAAAATGACCAATGGAGAAGGACACAAACAGGAACATGCTTATGACAACTTTATTAGGGGGGAAAAATTGAAATGCAAAGGATGCAGATGGCTTACTCTGTGGCTTCTAAATTTTTTACTTTAAGTTGCTCAGATTAATTTTTGAAAAATTGGCCGAATACTGATTTTCATCCATTGTCCTTCTGTGATAAAGAGTTCAAGGTTTTCGAGCAGTAGCAACACAAGGCAGCAGCTCCCTGATTGCCCAGTGACCAGCTCAGTCATACCTGGAGAAATGTTAGAAGCTTCCCTGGGCTGGGGTTGTAGCTCAGTGGTGGAACCCTTGCCTAGCACATGTGAAGCACTGAGTTTGATCCTCAGCACCACATAAAATAATAAAAGAATGAATGAATGAATGAATGAATGAATGAATGAATAAAATAAAGGTATTGAGTTCATCTACACCTTAAAAAAAATAGTAGTAGAAAAGGAGGAGGAGGAGGAACAGCTGCTGCTTTCCAGGTCCCTGAGTCCTGGCCTTGAAGAGAGTATTATGTATTTCATAGAATCTCAAGACACTAGGGCTTAGAAGACACACCTATATTTTGCGAACCACTAAGAAAAATGTTCCAATTAGAACTATGTTTTTTTTTTGTGTGTGTGTGTGTGTAGTTGTAGGTGGACAGCATGCCTTTATTTGTATATTTTTTTATGTGGTGCTAAGGATCGAACCCAGTGCCTCCCACGTGTAAGGCAAGTGCTCTGCCACTGAGCTATAGCTCCAGCCCTGTACTTCTTTTTTAAAGATTTTTTTTTTTGGTAATGGTAGATGGACAGAATGCCTTTATTTTAATGTGGTGCTGAGGATCGAACCCAGTGCCTCACACATGCCAGGAGAGTGTGCTATCCCTGAGCCCCAGCCCACCATTTATAATTCTTATAAATTTATTAGCTTTTAAACTTCTTCAGATTTCTATCTTATCACACTTAATTCATATACAAAAAGAAAAAGGCGAGATTCATAAAACATCACCTTCTGAGTCCAACATTCTGAACTACTCTATTTTTTTGAACTACTATTTGACCCATTGTTTTCATTATTTGTTTCCCCAAGCAGTGCTACCCTGTGGGTTGTGCTGAGTGTTGGTGATATAGCATTCTTGAAAAGCATGTTCCACTGTTGGCTCCAGAATTTTCCTCTAAGCTACTGATATGCATTCTGCAAGTTTTGGTGCTGGGCTATATTGATCTTACCAGAAGTCAGGTGATAGCCACATCCCAACTGCCACCTGCTGACAGTGATTGTGAGATGCATGATATCCGAGGTATTTTATAATCTGCACAGTACAATATGGAGCTTGATTTCCCCCAGACCCAGTGTCGCATTAAATCTTAAATAAGGCTTCATGACATCCAGTCAGTAGGAATGGAGCCCATGATTGGGCTACTTTGAAAAACTGAACAGATCCCACTGCTGTAATGAATCAGACATGAATTTCCCGTCTCAGTAGGAGTCGAAGGACATGCTCACACTTTTTGTATATGGTACATATGCACTGCAACTGTAGGATGATGCCAGCTCTGAAAATGTAATCATCAGGTAACTATGCCCTTTTGATAGTTTCATGTTAGATTTCTGACAAGAACAAGACACTGCACATTTGGTGGATTCCCAAATGATGGGAATGGACTGGACTGCGAGGTCTGGTGCTGACTTCTGCAGCAGGACATTTTTAAAATCAGTCAAGATTTGGAAAAGCTCTTGGTTCACATTACCCCAGAAAGGTGGGGAGGGACTTCATCATGTCCCTCTAAGAGTGATAAGGCAGTCTGCAGAGAGGACCTCCCCTCAGGTCTCCAGAACTAGAGAAAGAGGAACTATGCCTCTCCTTTCTCCTTTCCAGAGTCCATTCTGTGGCCAGTTCTGGCTTTTGGGTTTTGAGAGGTGAGGCAGGGTAGGAAGGGGTGGTTTTGAAAGCTTTCTCCACTAGTCTTTTTTTTTTTTTTTTAATATATTTTTAGTTGTCAATGGACCTTTATTTATCCATATGTAGTGCTGAGAATCAAATCCAGTGCCTCACACATGCTAGGCAAGCGCTCTTCCACTGAGCTCTAACCTCAGCCCTGCATCAGTCTTGACAGGGACAGGTCTATTCCTTGGCATCACTGGCTTAGAGAAAAGGGGCTGTGGGACCGTCATACCCAGCGCCACAGGAGTGCTGGCCAGAATAACTTGGCTTTATGGCCCATAGTTCATTTTAATTGGGGTTGCCAGGGATGGGGAAAATTGGTGACAGGAAGAACTTATGGTGGGCTATAGAGACTTTAGAGACTTCAGAGTTTTACAAGTGTTATCAAGCCAGCAAGCTAGAGATAGGTGTTAGCCCTACCAGAGTAGTTTAAATAATCCCCAGAACCATTAAACACACACACACACACACACACACAAAACAAAAAAACAGTGCCTATGACATAGCAAAGATAGAGCATTTAGTTTTCATGAAGCTTTGAGGTAAAGCTCCAGCATGGTTTCATCCCACCTAAACCTCTTGTTGGGTTCCTCCTCTTGGTGACCTGTGCTACTTGGTGAAAGGTGGTCAGCCTCTTAAGACTTACTAGCACTCTCAAGAGTCCACCTTCCTTGTGCCCTAATGCTTGGGAGAGGTGTTATGAACTATCTTTCTTAGACCATGAATGTACTTTTAATGAAGAAAGGTTCCTTCTAGTTAGCATCTTTGTGGCATCTGGAACTGGAATCAGTCCATGGAGAGTGTTTCTTCTGGTGGGCTGATGTGGAGAGTCAAGCCAGCCAGCAGGAAAGAATTCTTTGAGACAAACAATTCCCATAAGTCCATGAACTCCTGGACTAATTTATTGGATGTGGGTGAGAGAAGGTAGCTGCAACACTGGAACTCCAACTACCTTTGCGAACAAAAGGGAGCACTTTTGTCCTCCTCATGTCCTCACTGTTGCTAAGAAGCTTAGACACGCACCTCTTACCAGGTTGATGTGTGGGCTTACGCTTGACTAATAGCCAAGACTATTATGGAGCAAGAAATCTTATTTGGCTAGGTGTGACGGTACATGCCTGTAATACTAGTGGCTCAGGAGGCTGAGGCAGGATTGTGAATTCAAAGCCAGCCTAGTGAGGCCCTAAGCACCTCAGGAAGACCCTGACTTTAAATTAAAAAAAGGGCTGGAGATGTGGCTCAGGTGGTTAAGTGCTCCTGAGTTCAATCCCTGGTGCCAAAAACCCCCCAAAATCTGTCTGCCTGCCTGGGATTTCTCTCCAACTTTAGCTGCTTGTATCCACTCCCAAAGTGCTTTCAGTGTATATCCTGTCTGAAGATGCAACCTGAAACTTCTTGGACCTCTTAAAGTACTCTAATCCGGTGATTACCTTCTTTGGTTGATGACCCAAACCATCCTGAATTGCTTCCTCGGCAGAAGGGTCTCCAGCCCCACCTTCGGGTGTCCTTTCCCTCCCCAACTATCCACACAACAGTAGGTTACTGGTGACAACAGGACTTAAGAGCCAGGACTGCCTGGAGATGTAGCGTGCCATTGAGTAATTTCTGGGAGAGGAAAGATCCAGTGGACCTTATACCATCTTTTAACTCTGTGTAGCTAACCCCCCTCCAGTTAAGTCACAGATGGGATATTGAGAACAGAAGGTGAGAAAACAGGTTCCATGTTCACATGATTATTCTTCTTTATTGAGGTCTGTTTATTCTCAACGGGTGCTTTTTCCTCCAAGTAAATAAGCAGGCGTAAGTATCTATAATGAATAAATTTATTGTCTTACAAAAATCATTGTCTAGAAATATGGGAATACAAGAAAAGATATTTGCAGTCAGGTGTCTGGTGGTCAACAGCCAGTACAGTTCATACAGGGGGAAATCAAAGATTCCAAACCCACGTGACAAATTCTTCCTAACAGATGTTAAAGCTTTTAACCCAAAAGGTTTGTGTTTTCAAGCACATTGCAGAGGATCAAGGATTTATAATTAACACTGATTTGTTGTCACTGAATGTTTATAATACCACTTTGACTAGAGAGGTACATGATATGAAGCACAGTCAAAACTTAATACATTAAATTGTTATAGAGGCAAATAATATATTTAACATTGTCTTAGTACTGTAGTGTCTAAGGCACTTTCTGTAATGTCAGTTTGCTTAACTATCAACCAAAAACAGAATGCTAAGTGTTCACTGTAACACTGTCCAAAAGGAAGGGAAAAGGAAAAATGAAGAAGGATTCACACCCACGGGCATGTCAACATTCAGGCAGGTGGCATCTGTTCTCGAGGTCCTCAAAACCTCATTGACAAACTTGTAACAAGCCTCGGACACAAAACCAATATTCCCATTTTGGGCTCAAAGCAGCGGCTGAATTTGCAAAGTCAGCACAAGGGCCTGGCTGGCGAGGGAGGGCCTTCTGCTAGCTCCTGTGGGGGCCGTGGCAGCTTGTTCCTGAAGTAAAGGGGGCACTGGCCAAGCCAGATGCTTCAGGAGACCATCTGGAAGTCCCTGGATGGCTGCCACCTGAGGCCTCCGCTGTGTCGTGGCCACTACCCTTTTTATGCACAGACCAGCCCTGGCAGGACAGTTCACATGAGTAGATGCAGGGACACCACCAACTTGAGGGGCAGAGCCACCCCGTGGGAGATGAGTATAATAACCCCAAATGGATGCGGCTTCCCCCAATCCAACCCACCCCTCCTAATCTTTCCGAAGCCCCTTTCACAGTTTGCTCACTGAAATAGTGATCATTATTTGAAGAAAATGAGATACGAGTGCGGTTTAAGTTCCACAATGTTCTAAGACTGGATGCGGCCGAGGAGTCAGGGCCACATGAACACAGAACTAAGTTACCTGTCTGTCTGACAGA